ATTGGGCCACCGACCGAACTACGTGTCCAGCCAATCAGAATCTCCTCTATCAGCTGCGTCAATTATCGATTGGCTGATCGTCCGATTCACGAGCTTAAGGTTAATTCAACAGTTAGAAAAGACTGTTCTAAAATAATATACTAAAAATATAAATTTAAATTGAATGTACGACTGTAAGCTTTCTGTAATGACTGGCGTATGGAGAAATGTTTTCTACATGTACGACTAGTCCTCATATGGTCAAATTAAAAAGTAAATATTATCAAAAGTCCACATCTGTTATGTTTCACGAAGGCCCTTCTTCTCCTCATGAACTACTATTAAGTTTGCCAATAATAAAGAACACAGAACAGGTAACTTTATCAAGACTGACACTCCTCAGAGAGGAGGCAAACAGAAAAGACCAATAAGAATATAACAAAAACACGTTCAAACTATGAAGTTCAAAATACAGAAAAATTATGATAAAGTCTGAAAGAGCTAAATCGATCACTAACAAGTGACTGGCCGGAGGAATGTTCTGCGATTTAGCCAAAGCTTTCGGCTGTGTAAATCAAGAAATTTTGTTAACTAAATCACTTTTTATGGCATTCAAGGGGCAGCCACAAAATGGCTCAGATCCTGTCCTAGAATAAAATCCCCTAATGACACTCTGAACATTTTTCTTTAAACTGGGGAACAATAGAGCCCAGGGGTCAATTCTAGGGCCTTCCCTTTCCATAGTGTACGTAAATGACCTCCCTCCAAGAATAAATAATTTATCAAAACCCATAATATTCGCTGACGTCATAAATTATACGAAGAACTCTGATGAATTCTGGACAATGTCAACCAGAGTTCTCCCTCAGATGAGAAAATGGTTCACTGGCCCTAAATCTAGATAAAAGAAAGAAATGTAACAAAACTTATAAAAGATAACTCACCACAAAACATGCCTTAGGCATTGGTTACATTGAAGGGTCATTAAAACAAAATATTTTGGTTTACAGACTGAAAAATCATATTCATCAAATGGCTCTGAAGTTAAGTGGAACCTGTTATGGAGTTGGATGCATTTTGCCTGTTCTCACTCCATGATGAAGTATGGAATAATTTGTTTGGTGGTAATTCACTTTTAATGGGTGGCGTCAAACCCAAAAATTCGTTGCAAAAATCTATTTAAAGGGATTAGAGATCTTACTTCTTCCATGTGAATAAATAATCTCATTAATGAACTTCACTCTGAACAACCAAGAACATTTTTCAAATTCTGCTGCACAATTTTGACATGTGAAATAAGCAACAGGTTCACAGGCCAACCATGCTTTCAGAAAAGTGCATTCTTTGCCAGCATCAAAATTTTCAACAGTCCGCCATCTTGAGAATAAAGTAGCATTAGAAAGGTACTTAAGCACACATTCACTTGACTTTGTTGAAGAATTCCTAAATGACTCAAAATGTTTTCAAACGTTTTCTTGCCTTTGATAGTATAAATGGGTAATATAATTTATTTGCTTTGAATGGGTGAATTTATTTAAAACAATTCATTAATTTATGTGGTTTATAACATTTTGAATTCATCTTGTATATACTTGTTGTGTTTTTATGATCTGTTTCACATCCTATTGTCATCTGAGTAACTTGTGTATCCAAGAAATAAAATATTATGAATTCATGTATGTAAGTAAATGTACCAAAATGAAAATAAAATGCTTAATTACGCCTGTGTACAGAGTTCACACAAAAACCTGGTGAGTTATATGACACAGATTTGCTACACACATTATCCAAATCATAATCTAAAACCACAGGGGAAACTGATCAAAACAATTAGTATTAATTATGTTTTACTTACAAATTCTTCAACTGGATTATCGGTTGCAATTCACTTATCACACATTCTACTCTGCCTGCGCTGATAAATCCACGAGAACACAAGAAAATATACTTTTTACACACGAAACTTTATAACCGGCCATTAACAACACGCCATCTTGGACTGGAGTTGAGTGCCAACATGACGAACGTAACGGAGCCAAATCTGAAATCATTCGATAAATACAGGTGTACCACATCAGGCCTGTCATCGCGTGGTACAAGAATTACTCACGTCACTTAAATGCAGTAAATCTTCAAGGATAAAAATCTAATTCTGGCCGTGTCTTCCCACAATTCAACACGTCTTGAATCCTCTGGCACGAGGACATTATGGGCGATTCCGACGGATACGCGCTGATACACATTCCATCGAGGAAATGCATCGTCCCCACACTGAGCACACAATCGTGTGTGAATTTCAACCCCTTGAACACCTTCTGACCACAAAAGTAACCACATCCTTCTTATTCTTCTTTAGCACAAACTGAGACTGACGCATCAACGATCTCCGCTTCACCGTAACTTTCTCACCGCGTCCAAGGTCGTATCGGACGGCGTACATTTCACACGATTCTGGGCTGTCCTCAGCGTGAGACAAAACCCTGACACACGCAACGCCATCTTTGTGATACCGGTGTGACGTAAGAATAATCCCAATTTTATCCGGAACTTATATCATGTTTACTTTATTACACTTTGATATTTTAATGCTCAAATATGCTTATTTTAAACACTTTATTACTTTTAATTATATAATAATGTTGACGAATAATTTGGCCTGTCTCTCATCTGAGCATTTTTAATCTTCTGAAACAATTAGTGCGTTATACTTTTTGGTTCTCAAGTTTTTAACCCAAATATTATGATATTAAATTTCGTGTTGGGGGTTTACAAGAAGTGTTTTTGGGTGAACTTCGTTTCGATTCTAATCGACTCAAAATGAAGTTCAAATTGAAGTTTATTGGGTTTTCGAAAAACGGCTTATTGTATTAAAAAGTTAATACGCTTTATTATAAACATTTTCCCATGTGGGTAGTATTTGAGGCAGAAGAAGGAAGAGTATTTGTTGAGGTTATCAAAGTTATATTTGTAGTGTGATTAACGTATAAAATACCTGTGCGTGCGTGTGCAACGGCCTTATTGGGACACTTCCTTGCACGCTTTAATATTCCCTGCGCCACACTGGAGGAGGATGAAAAATATGGGGCGAAGCCAGAATTGGATGCGGAAACTTCTGGGCGCGCTGCGAAGTTTCAGCGAGTGACAGCCATGCGCTAGTCGAGGTCTCGTGCAAAACTGAAACAATCTCGTGCGTTGCGGTGTGTTCTACATTTCTAATTTGAAAGCAACGCTATTAATTTCAGCAGCAGAGTTCACTGAAGTCGACACTGACGTCAGTACCGAACTGACAGCTGCGTGGCGCTGCTGAGAAATGGAATATGAACTGTGTGTAAACACGAGTGGCAAGGGCTGTCCAAACGCCAACATTGGATCGTTGCGTTCTTGGCAGGTTTTAATATTAATTTCTTGCAGACGCGAAACTGTTCTTCGAATTTATTACGTCATACAAAATCTAAATGAATCGCAGGAATCAAACTGAGTGCGGTAATGTTTGCCCTTAAAATTTGAAAAGTATTCACCGCCTCAAAAATTGTTTGCAAAAAAATGGACATCACAAAGGCTTGATGGTGACTGCTGGGCCGTTGCGTCACATAAACCGGCAAACGTTTACCTCCGAAACGTCGATAAACTTCTACCAGACTACACGCCGGAATAACGGAGAAGACAGCCATCTTCATTATCTGCCGTCATAAATATGTTTTGTAAGTGGTCGTTCTCTGAAACGTCGATACAGTTCGATCTGAGCTTCACGCACGCTCATGCACATGACGTCCACAGTGGACGCAAAACGTAATTGAAATCCGTAAGCGACTTCTCAACTCAAATATGCAGTAGAGGGCACCCGATAATACACATTACAATATGTACATATATTTTTGGGATACTCTGTATAATTGACACGAGCCTCGGCTTCAAAGGGCAAATGACTTCTGCTCTGGTATACTACAAGGAAATGAACAGCATATTCATTGGCTTTATTTCCCGATTTTATGAGACTCTTGGGTTTGAAGTACGAGGTGAACAGATGCAATCACGTGCGGTCAGTAGACCGATCGGCCGATAAAAAATTATGATATAAAAAACATAAGTTTTTCCGTTGTTTTGTCTGGTAGTGAAGCTTGGTCTCTTACCCGTGATACATACGCTGTGAAACGGCCAAGACTGAGCTTCGAATCGATTAGAACCACTTCGTATATCAAGTCCTTTCCAATCTAACACAGAAAACATCTCTACAGCTGATTTAGCTACGGTTTGTACCACAAGTCAAAACAAAAGAAATGAGGAGGCGGAACGAAACGCGGCAGATGGCAAATGGAGCCGTGCCTGACAACTACACTTAACACGACGCAAAACTTAAACCGCTTGAAACGCACCTCGTATCAATGCCATTAACAAACTGCGCCTGCAGTTTATGTTACCCGCATCAGTCTTTCCAATTACGAACTGAGTGGAAACGGGACGCGGTGTCGCCATGACACAACCCTCCAGTTCATTAGGCGGAGTGACACAAGTTATCATCAAATTCGACGCTCAGACAGGGGAGCTCTCTTACCTCGGAGGACGCTCCCGATAGATATGCTAATACGCGTGCGTCATAATACACTGACATGTGCGGGTATTCCCCTATGAAGCCGACTCGCGTGTGTGGGTTGACTGACAAACGAATGCGCACAGAAACAGAGTGTCCGAAACACTCGTGTTTCGTGTTCTTCTCAAACCACACGCAAGAATTTAGAAATGTTATCTTGAGAATGATTTTTTTTTTTCCAAAACGATACTCATCTCATTACCTGTTACAACATTCGGCTGAAACCAATTTCGTCTCTCCTAACTTTATTAAAACCCATCAAAAACGCATTATACATGAATCTCTGCAAGGTTTTATGTGTGTACTCCGCAGAACACATAAAAGTTCCAAAAGTGTTCTTTACACCACATCCGATGGACGTAATGTCAAGTAGTTCATGCGGCCACTAATATATGGCAGCAAGAATAGTTCGTATGGCCATTGACAGGTGGCAGCGCGAGCAATGACGTCACCAGTCTCCGAGAAACGACAAAAGACATCACCGCGGAGGACCATTCCCCCACATCACAAGTACGAGGATTCGTCACGTTGGTACCACCGAATACAGTAAATTAAGAATACAACACAGTGTGGTACTCCCTAAAAGCATAATCTGCGTACCAAATTTCATCAAAATCCGTTCTGCCGTTCTCGACAGAACTTGCGCACGAGATCTTCTTCGCTTGCGCTGAAGACTGAACTCGCAGTTTCGAAATGGACTGACTTCCAAAAAATGTTTATTTCTTCTCTGTTTTATTGAACAAAATTCAGTTACCTGAGCCCTAAATCTGCTGCGGTCCAGTGATCTGAATTTACTGCCCATCAAAACAGTCGTGGGTTTACAGAAGCACGGAGAGAAGGAAAGCTTTGGACCATCAAGAAGGTAGCTGCCTTCCTCTTTATGGCTGGTTCTAATCTTGTTACAGTTCATCTTCCGTGGCCTTGGCGACCGCCGAAAGACGTCCATTCCGATTCAAGCAGTGTCCTTCCCCCCCCCACCCTTCTTCACACTCGCTGACCTACAAGCTCACCTGGAAACAGCTGACAGTCCAGAACAGACGTTTTTACCTTTCGCGGGAAAGAAGGCGGGCTGTTCAGAGCAACAAACGCGCGCGATCTGACGAAAGTAACAAAAGTCAGGTTCATAACTTTGTAATGCCTACGGCAAGGAACGCGCAGTTGTGCCACGACGGATATGGCGAAGTTATACGGCGGTAAGTACCTTCTTGAGAAGCCAGCAGCCGCTCGGCCAGTGAGAGAAATTGCCCGACGCATCACGCCACGGTGAAATGGCGTTAGTTGGAAAAACTGGTCGAACGCATCCGAGATATGAAATTTTCATGCTCCTTGCACAAGCCCCAATGAGGTTTTGTTCGATTCGGCTCGATTTAACGCCCACTTCGCGTAAAAGTCAACGCGAAAATAAATTCTCACTCTACGACAAAACTGTCCACGAAATGTAGCACAGAACAATTTCTTCGATCGGAAAGATACATAACGAAATTTGGGGAAAATATTTTCCGTCTTATGGGTGGTTATAAATATTTATCACCTTCCTCCTTAGTTCTAAAACGCACAACCCTGCAGATGAAAGCGATGCGGTCGTTCGAAACCAACATGCTGGAGCTCCAGTGTCACGTGACATCCCACAACGAGACGTCAAACTCAATTCTTCACATTGGATTACTGGCCTCGAACTGAGGCCTCTATGTTATTAACCTGACCACACTTTAATGAATTCAATCTCATTTTCTGACCATGAAATGTCACAGAAGCGTCCTTAATGACTTGCTGTACTTTGTGTTCACATTTCAACCACAAATTCGACAGCCCCGTGAGCCTAATGAAGGTCGTTTGCACGCCGCGTTTGTCATCAGTAGAGATTTCCATTCAAATCCACCGTCCAGACGCTAATCAAACGACAGCTGACGGGGGCTTACGGTGGCAGGTGGCGGCGAGACTGCACGCTAAATTCAAGCCGCAAAACTGTTTACAAACGACTACGCCACATACGACAAAGCCCCGAAACAGTCTGGACGGGTTTCTATAAATTTCAGGAAGAGATTCGTGGCTTCCTTAAACAAACATTACCGGCTGCTTCCCTTCTGTTTTCGTACCACGCAATCGAGTGCGTTCCTCAAATTTCTGAAATGCAGCTGTGCAGAATTACTTGTTCACAAGCTCCTGTGGTCCATTGTCAGCTTCCACGTGAAGCTGATGGTATTACAGCTACCAAATAACTCCGCGAAGCAGAGTATTTGTTGGCAAACTGATAGTTGCTCAGCTAGCCAATAATTTCCCGCCCTTTCTTGGACACCGACGGTTCACTGCCGCCTTCACGAGACCCCGCCACAAGTCCACATTCGAAACCAGATGGGTCCAGTCCAGCCTCTCCTACGTGGAGAACTCTGTTCCCGTGTATCTCGAGACGAAAGGCGGTGCTAAAGCTCACTCGATGACACCCGGTGCTCGGACTTAACACAGCGCATTTACGTATTTCCCCTTCATCATTGTACGGCGCTGACGTACTGATCACCACCTGACAGCATCATTCAGATCACCACTGGAGCGAGGGACAGAACAATGCGCATCACTGCAGCAGAAGACGGAACAACGCAGACAACCGCGCACTGAGTACAACTGACCAGACAGTATCACGAGAAGGCACGGGAGATGAGATGGACTGGCGTGTAGCAGGCATTGGAGACAGAAGAAATCTTGCGAGACCAAGGCGTAGATGGTAAGCGGACAATAAAATAAAAGGGACTGGATTGGATTCTGGTGGCTGCTTCTTGAGGGCACGCTAATAAACTTCTCGGTTTCATAAAAAGCGATGGGCGGTTATCGGACTCTGCTTCAAGGAGTTACTTATCTGCTCATTTCTCACGTTCTGTTATTCAACGCTTGAAGTACATCGCAATTCGATCTAATGGGCTCCTTTTCCCACATTCGTATTTGCCACCCTTCATCAGTTCAAGTTCTCATACTCCACGTCTCTTCCCGTCTTCGTAACGACCGCCACGTGGTTTCCCGTTTGTTTGTTTGTTTATTGTCGCGGCGACAATTACCCTCGTGTCCAGTGACGTAACAGCAAACTGATTCTTTGCATTTCCGTGCAGTGATAAATGGCCTTTGAGCCAAAAACCTGCATAAATGAGTGAAATTTTAGCAATTAATGTTCTGAATTGCACAGCTGAAGGGGTGTTTAAGGCTTTTTTTTTCCAAAGTTTCGGGAGCTCGTATTTGTCACGCCCGCTCGTCCACCCACACAGTGACAGCGTCCGAAGAAAGTCGGTACAGAAGAGATTTTAATTTCGGTACAGTTCTCTTATCTGAAACAGCCTCTGAATTTAAAGAACCGAATTCAATTTCACTCGTGTGTCTTTTGCAGAATTAACCGAGCCTGAAAAATTACTTACAGTGAACAAGTTTTTCATTGCGTTAACTTCCGTTTATTCTTAGCCTCTAGACTTCCGGTTTAAATTTACTTTAAGAATATATTCGGAGCCCTTTAACAGACGGTGATAAGACTTCATTTATCAATTAAAATACATGAGTGTTACGTAGGTAAAGTTCTGTTAATTTTAATTCCACTTTAAGCCACACTTTAATCGGCTGTGTA